GATCATTTCTAAGTAGTTAAAATTTTATGAAGAATATAGACAAAATTTGAGTATCGTCCGATAGCGAATTTTTACGGTTTTTTCAATTATAAATTGAAAAAAAGTGATATTTCTAAGCCGATTTTCGAAGATCTGATTATTCCAAACGAAAGAACTTGCTTTTTTCTATATAATGGCATATTCTTTTATGATCATTTCTAAATAGTTAAAATTTTATGAAGAATATAGACAAAATTTGAGTATCGTTCAATAGCGAATTTTCATGGTTTTTTCAATTTTAATTTGGAAAAAAGTGATATTTCTAAGCTGATTTTCGAAAATCTGACTATTCCAAACGAAAGAGCATACTTTTTTCTATATAATGGCATATTCTTTAGAGATCATTTCTAAATAGTTAAAATTTTATGAAGAATATAGACAAAATTTGAGTATCGTTCGATAGCGAATTTTTACGGTTTTTTCAATTTTAAATTGAAAAAAGTGGTATTTCTAAGCCGATTTTCTAACATCTGATTATTCCAAACGAAAGAGCATACTTTTTTCTATATAATGGCATATTCTTTAGAGATCTTTTCTAAATAGTTAAAATTTTATGAAGAATATAGACAAAATTTGAGTATCGTCCGATAGCGAATTTTTACGGTTTTTTCAATTTTAAATTGAAAAAAGTGGTATTTCTAAGCCGATTTTCGAACATCTGATTATTCCAAACGAAAGAGCATGCTTTTTTCTATATAATGGCATATTCTTTAATGATCATTTCTAAATAGTTAAAATTTTATGAAGAATATAGACAAAATTTGAGTATCGTTCGATAGCGAATTTTTACGGTTTTTTCAATTATAAATTGAAAAAAAGTGATATTTCTAAGCTGATTTTCGAAAATCTGACTATTCCAAACGAAAGAGCATACTTTTTTCTACATAATGGCATATTCTTTAGAGAACTTTTTTAAATAGTTAAAAGAGAACTTTTTTAAATAGTTAAAATTTTATGAAAAATATAGACAAAATTTTAGTATCGTTCGATAGTAAATTTTCACGGTTTTTTCAATTATAAATTGAAAAAAAGTGATATTTCTAAGCCGATTTTCGAACATCTGATTATTCCAAACGAAAGAGCATGCTTTTTTCTATATAATGGCATATTCTTTAATGATCATTTCTAAATAGTTAAAATTTTATGAAGAATATAGACAAAATTTGAGTATCGTTCGATAGCGAATTTTTACGGTTTTTTCAATTATAAATTGAAAAAATGTGATATTTCTAAGCCGATTTTCGAACATCCGACCATGGCAAACGAAAGAGCATACTTTTTTCTATATAATGGCATATTCCTTTGAGAACTTTTCTAAATATTTAAAATTTTATGAAGAATATAGACAAAATTTTAGTATCGTTCGATCGCGAATTTTCACGGTTTTCGATCGCGAATTTTCACGGTTTTTTCAATTTTAAATTGAAAAAAGTGGTATTTCTAAGCCGATTTTCGAACATCTGATTATTCCAAACGAAAGAGCATGCTTTGAAGAATATAGACAAAATTTTAGTATCGTTCGATAGCGAATTTTCACGGTTTTTTCAATTATAAATTGAAAAAAAGTGATATTTCTAAGCTGATTTTCGAACATCCGACCATGGCAAACGAAAGAGCATACTTTTTTTCTATATAATAGCATATTCTTTAGAGAACTTTTTTAAATAGTTAAAATTTTATGAAAAATATAGACAAAATTTTAGTATCGTTCGATAGCAAATTTTCACGGTTTTTTCAATTATAAATTGAAAAAAAGTGATATTTCTAAGCCGATTTTCGAACATCCGACCATGGCAAACGAAAGAGCATACTTTTTTTCTATATAATGGCATATTCTTTAGAGATCTTTTCTAAATAGTTAAAATTTTATGAAGAATATAGACAAAATTTGAGTATCGTTCGATAGCGAATTTTTACGGTTTTTTCAATTATAAATTGAAAAAAAGTGATATTTCTAAGCCGATTTTCGAAAATCTGATTATTCCAAACGAAAGAGCATACTTTTTTCTATATAATGGCATATTCTTTAGAGATCATTTCTAAATTGTTAAAATTTTATGAAGAATATAGACAAAATTTGAGTATCGTTCGATAGCGAATTTTTACGGTTTTTTCAATTTTAAATTGAAAAAAGTGGTATTTCTAAGCCGATTTTCGAACATCTGATTATTCCAAACGAAAGAGCATGCTTTTTTCTATATAATGGCATATTCTTTAATGATCATTTCTAAATAGTTAAAATTTTATGATGAATATAGACAAAATTTGAGTATCTTTCGATAGCGAATTTTTACGGTTTTTTCAAGTTTAAATTGAAAAAAGTGGTATTTCTAAGCCGATTTTCGAACATCTGATTATTCCAAACGAAAGAGCATGCTTTTTTCTATATAATGGCATATTCTTTAATGATCATTTCTAAATAGTTAAAATTTTATGAAGAATATAGACAAAATTTGAGTATCGTTCGATAGCGAATTTTTACGGTTTTTTCAATTTTAAATTGAAAAAAAGTGGTATTTCTAAGCCGATTTTCGAA